AAGGTAAATTTTTGCGGCCAGAGCTGGTCGTAACCCGAAAAGTTCGTTAACAGAGGTGTTCGTAACCCGAGGTACCACTGTACTGCATATACATCAGTTCTGCTATTGTAAGTTATGGCAGCTTTACAATCTAAGGAGGAAAGGCCAGAAGGGCTGCATTTTACAAGAAAGATACCAGCACCAAACAGGACTGACATGTCTCCTCCGTGGAGAAGAAATCACAGAGAAACCTTACGACGGACAAAATCAGAAAGGTGTTTTTCTACAGTACAGGGTGACATTGAAATAGTGTATAGTTTTAAAATATTGGTTTATTTTTCAGTTGTGAATATGTTTAATCATTACAAATAAATCTGTATAGCTAATGAAAAGCGTATTGAGATCTGGCTCCTGGAGGACATCCAACCTTCTGTAACATTTATGGAAAATCACAGGAGTACTATTTCAGATTTTAGCATCAAGGGGATGATCCTTTCCCCTCCCCCCCTTTACAGAGAAGTTGTGTTGTTTGTTGGCTCCCTTACTTTGCTTTCTTTATCTCCATAAAAGTATGGAAATAAAGCTGTATCCCATTTTGCCTAACTGTGAATTTGCTTTGTATGCCTGCACCAAATTCATGTTAACAAGCAGAAGCCATTCTCAAGGGAACACCTTGCAATAAGGATCGAAGAATGAGATAATGGATAACTTCACAGTAAACCTGAATTTCAAAAGTCAGGGCTATCTCCATGAAACAGGCTAAGCAGCACCACAGCTGGGTCTAGAGAGAAAGGAGAGGGGTGGCTATGGTAACACAGATCTTGATCATGGAAAAAAAAGTTGGATCTAGGTCAATGTGCCTTGTGCTAAGTCATACCATAGGTTGCTGGCTATGGGTTTGTGTGTGTTATCTGAACCTAAACACTGTAATTTGTAAACATGGCTTACAGTTTAGGTGGTTGTAAACTCTCCAAATCTAATCACTGCTTATTCAGTAAACCATGATTAAACAATAACTTAGCACATCATGTGCAAACCAGCCCAGTAAGTCCAACTAGCAGAATGTGACTAAAGTGAGCTACAACATTGGCCCTGTAGCAGGAGTAAAAATTAAGAAAGGAGATGAGTAAACCTGTCAATCAGTACTAAATTGCTAGGGAAGAACAGAAGAAAAGGGCTACCCCCTTCCTACCTAGCATGCACTTTCTGAATGCAGCTGTTTTGCTATATCTGTGATACAGGATGCTAATCTCACTCCGCATTTAGCCTATTTT